CATCTACCTGCTTTTTTTATAATAAGCAAGAGTCTGGGATGAAAGGATTCTGTATATGCACAGCTTGGCACCTTATTACGTCATCAGCTTGTGACTGCATCCCCAGCCTAAAAAGTAGACATGCACTCTCATGTGTTCTCTCTCTGTACTCTCCCTCCGTGCGGTCTCTGTCCCTGTCTCTGTCTCTCTCTGTGTCTCTTTGGCGCACTCTCTCTCTCCTTCTCCTAATAAAGTTTTAAAAGGTAACCATGGCTCGTGATTCCTCCACTCTCTTCTGCCGCCAGCCAAACCACAGCTGCTGTGGTATCTAGCCGCAACCAGGCACGAGCGCCGCTCTATACCCTTCACCCACAGTCTTTCATAGTCTCAACACTGTTTAAAAGTACCAAGTCTTTCCTGAGGCTCAAGGCAATCTCTTCATTTTAATCCCTGCTAAAATAAAAAAGCAAATTACATACTTCCTGCAAAGGGCCACAAGAATATATTATGGAGATTCAGCTGTATATTAAAGCTATACCTAGAAAACTCAGAGCAATTTTCTAGAGGAAGCTATTTAACAAGGAATATTTGGTGTTATTCAGTTTTTAATATATCAGCTGTCTTCTGCGATGAAATTCTTGTGTGCCCATATACTACTAGGCATTATGGCAAACAATTTAGCTTCTCAGACCTGCTGCTGATGCACTAGGTAACACCCGCGCACAGGCTGTGGCTGCATAGACTTGTTTCTTGTACAAATGAAACTCAGTCCATTCCCTTCCTTCAGGCCTAGTAGCATTGCAGAGCTATTGACTCAGGACAATAGGGCTTTTTGTATAACCAGGTGTAGTAAAGACTGGAGCAGGGTTGCTGGAGGCAGAGCTGCCTGGCCAGGGAGAAGAGAAGAAGGCAGAGTTTCTCAGAGGTGGGGATGGGGTGGAGGGATGGGGGTTGTTGGTGTGGTGGTGTAAGAAACAAGGAAGGAAAGATGGAGGATGAAGGAACAGAGGACGAAGATGAGGTCGAAAGCATAGGAGCTTAGTTAGGTCTGTGACAGGGCAGTAGGTACAGAGAGGAGCCGTATGTGAGGATGGAGCTGAAGCTATATAGATAGAATTTTGTCTTAGAGAAATAAAGTAATGGATGACAGAGCATGGTGTACATAGATTCCTTTCCCTCAGATTACCCCCTGCAAGACACCGGGACCCTGGGAGGGATTTTCTCAGGGCAGGCCCTTGGGAAAATTCTGTTAACTTCCAGCATATAATGTCACAGAATACACATTCCTTTTCTAAGAGAGAGAAAAGGGGGTGTAGTGAAAAAATGCTGGACCAAAGCAAGCCTGAAATCACATAAGGCAAACTCCAAATTGTGTAGTTCTGTGTCTGACATCAAACAGCTTAGATGGCTCTGCTTTTCCAGCTTTACTGAGAGCAACACACTGTTCTTTGGTTCTGTTCTGTCTGCAGCCCTCCTTGGCAGACATCCCATAGCTCTGGTACCTCCAACATCTTGGGGTCTCTAATGCAGTCCAAGCACAGTGCTGAGGCAGTAGCTGAAACTTACATCTTGATCCGCAAACAGAAGGCAGAGGAAGCTAACTGGGGATGGGCTGGGCTGTCACAGCTGCATAAAAAGGCCTCTCAGGGACTCCCTTGCAACTCAGCTGGCCTCAGTGGCTCTCCTTAACTGCAGAGAAAGACTCCATAATCCCCTCACTAGTATACCCTTTGTAACTCGAAAGCCAGAACTGCTTGGCCAACGCTGCCAGTTGGGATGGAGTCTGGCCTCCTCCTTGAATTACATTTGCATAAACTTCGATCCATTGCTTTTTACAAACATTCCCTAGGACCTTTACATTACAAGGTTAGCTGGCTGGGGTTTTGCCTGGGTGCACCACTCCATTTATTCCATTTGGCATCGGACTTCTCCTTATAGCTTTCAGCACAAGCTTTGACTCCAACGTTAGAGTCCATGGTGATCTTTTTCTCCTCAAACTGTATAGTTTGTATTTCTTTTTGCCTTGCTTGCCCTTTTTCATTGTAGAATGGCATAAAAGTAATTACTAATAACCACGCAACAGAGTCAATATTAGACTGTTAGTCCAAAACTTTTCAATTTAGCCACAGGCAAATTCTTAGGGCAAGGGGCAGAAAACAGACATATTCTTTGCCAAAGTATCACAAGAATGGTCTCTAGCCCAGTTGCTAATAAGAGAAACCTCGTGAGCTGGGCCTCCATAGTCCACATTGTTCTCAGCACTATTGTCTAACTACTTGGAAGTGTTCACTTACATTGTCCAACTATTTTCTTAGTCCAAAGTTCCAATATCTTCCACATTCCTCTAAAAGCAAAACAAAGCAAACAACCGTATGGTAAGGCCTGTGATAGCAACAGTCCACTTCCTGGTATTGACTTCTGTCTTAGATACTTTTCTATTGCTGTGACAAAGCACCATGGCCAAAGCAACTTATAAAAGAAAGCATTTAATTTGGAGCTCACGATTCAGGAGGGTCAAATTCCACGGTCCTTATGGGGGGGGGGGCAGAGCATGGCAGCAAGCAAGTAGTCAGGCATAGTGCTGAGGCAGTAGCTGAAACTTACATCTTGATCCACAAACAGAAGGCAGAGGAAGCTAACTGGGGATGGAATGGGCTTTTAAAATCTCAAAACCCTCCTTTAAAGACTTACCTCCTTCAACATGACCACACCTCCTAATCCTTTCTAAACAGTTCCACCAACTGGGGACCAAGCATTCAAATATATGAGCCTTTGAGGGACATTGTCATCCAAAATACCACAATTATTGTTGTTTTTTTTTGGTTTGTTTTTTTTTTTTGTTTTGTTTTGTTTTTTCGAGGCAGGGTTTCTCTGTAGCTTTGCACCTTTCCTGAGACTCACTTGGTAGCCCAGGCTGGCCTCGAACTCACAGAGATCCGCCTGCCTCTGCCTCCCGAGTGCTGGGATTAAAGGCGTGCGCCACCACCGCCCGGCCACAATTATTGTTTTAAAGAAAGTATTCTAGTAATAGTGCTGCGATGGATGGATGGATGGATAGGATAGATAGATAGATAGATAGATAGATAGATAGATAGATAGATAGATATAGATGGGGTGGGTGGATGAATGGATGGATGGACAGATAGATAGATGGCGAGCAAGCACTTCGGTAGTTGATATGCTAGAACCCAGGTGAGACAGACTGAAGTTAGAAAAATGAAGGCAGAAGATTGAGTCACATCATGAACATGTTAGCATTTTTAAAGGAAAGTCACAATATCTTGTGTATTTGACTCTGCATACCCGTGAGAGAATTGGGAAAATCAAGAGAGTTGTGCTGTAGACGAAACGTTTGTGTGTTCCTAAATTCATGTTGAAACATATCCCACAATATGGTGATATAGCCTTTTTTTTTTTTAGCTGATTATGAAGGTCAGGGACAACAGAGAGTCCTCTTATGTTTCTGATCCTTGAAGTCACAGCAAGGAGGCAGCAGTCTAGGAACTACGAAATGAGCCTTCCCCAGATTTGTTGGCATCTTGACTGTGGAATTTGCAGCAAAGAGTTTGACTGGAGATTTCAACCAAAAACTTTAAAAAGAATTAAACCAAAATTCAAAACTTGTCCACCAAAATTGGAGAGATGGAACAAGTAGATTTAACCAGAGCAATTTATGCCACAAAATAAAATAAAAGGTGTCGAAATGTGAAGGAAAAAACAGTCCATTTGAAGACACATCATCTTACACTTATAAAGTGTGTAAGGATTCACCAAGTCAGTTCCCCACAGTTTGACATCTTCGGCCCAATTCTCTTTCGTCTTTACCATATATTCACAATTCATCATTCTTAGTTCAGTTTATAAGCCTGAAGCTTAGCTTTTTCTGTTGGACTTCATTTCTTTTCTTAATGTTTTAAGATTTACTCTATTTTAGAAGACTGGAAAGAAAGCTGGGTGGTTGGAATTACCTGTGCTTTTCTAGAGTACCTGCGTTCAGTTCTCAGCACCCACATAAGGCAGCTCACAAGTACCCCTAACTCCAGCTCCTGGGCCCTGATGACCTCTTCTGGCCTCCATGAATACCTGAGCACATGTGGTATATACATACACAGAAATAAAAAAAATTTAAAAATCATTTTTAATTATGCATAAATGTATGTGACCGTGTGGGTGAGTTGTCAGTGCCTTAAAAGCCCTGAAGAGGGCAAGAGAGCCCTCACTCAAACTCAAGTTACAGCTGGTTATGAGCTGCCCAGCCTGGGTACTGGGAACTGAACTCTGGAAGAGCAGCTGGTGCTCTTAAATCACTAAGCCATCTCTCCAGTCCTCTGTTTCTTATACATGAAGGGCTTTGTATATGTAAAACTATTCACATGAAATAAAACTGTATATTAATAAGTTTTATTTAATCAGAATTTTGTTAGTTTAAATCTTGAACTCAGCTATAGAACCTAAAAACAGAATAGAAGAAAAGTTTTCCTTCCCTATAGCACCTTAACTTTTTCTTATTGAATTGCAAGCACTCTTTATATGTTCTTGGGTTTTTTACTCTTTTGTGCTGTTAACAAAGTATAGAGGTTGTGAATTTCTTCCTCCTCCTTCTCCTTCCTCTTCTTTCCCCTCCATTATTACGACATATAATTTTAAGCCACTGATGATTTTGTTGGGATTCCTTTTTCTAAATGTAATGCAGCCCCTCCCTCTTCTACCGCACACACGTGTGGTTTTAGTTTACATGTCTGCATTTCTAATCAACTTGGGATTCGTTTTTATGCTGGCATGACCTTCTTCTCCCATGGGAGAACCTGTAATGGTATTGAATCCTCTGACTGGATTCGTCATTTACGAATGAGGTGTTTGGATTCTTCTAGGTTCTGGATTGCTTCCCCCAGACTTTACACTTTATTTGTTAGGAACTTTTGACACTTTCATTTAGTAAAACAAAATTTTACATGGTATATTCTTTCTAAGTTATTAAAAAGAAATTTGTTAATGTTATATAAAAAGCACCACTTATACACTGAAATAAATGGGCACTTTAATAGTTACCACACCAATGTTTACATACACTTATCAGAAAATTATAGGACAATTTGTGCATGTCACATTCATATTACTATCCATATAAGAACAAATACACATACCATTTATTCAACTACATCAGCATAGCACACAAGGTTTCAGTTTGTTTTAAGCTTTTCAGTTTAAAGGAGACATTAATTAAATAAAGAAAGTGAAAGTCCACGAGCTCATTATCAACAATATAAACAAGAAAATTTTTTTGAAATGTCTAACATTTTGACAACTTTGAGTTACATTTACAATATTCTATTTCCAAAAATCATAACTCTAGGGTCACTGTCAGGGTGAAAATATATTTTTGCATTTTCTAAATATGCTATTAGGATTTAATATTATTTGATTTATTCTTCACATGTGTGATGTATTGGAAAGTAAAAATATATGTGGCCAATTCTATGGATTGTGCAGGTTTAGAGAGGGCACAGTTTGCTAGCAGACATTGTTCCTAGTCCATGCTGTATGACACTGGTCAGTTACCCCCAGTGCTGGAACCAGGGTACACATTTACAACCTACCATGAATACTAAATGAGCATGAATTTACTTTCATATTTTTCACATGGTAGCAATACTGAAATATCACAATCTTACACTGCAATATAATTAGAAAAACTGAAAGATTAGGGAAATCAACAAAAATATCAACCTATACTGAAAATTGCACTTTTAATAAATAGGGAGAAACATCTTATCAGGAATAAATTTTTCCTAATAAAGTTTAACGCCTACTCTATCCTGATTTTAAATAAATACTAAAATATGATAAAATAGTCAATGATTAAGGACTTTTGGCTTTATTTTGTGCTGCTGATACAAAAATAATGACTATATTTAAGGCTTATTGACTGTAGTTGCCCTGAACCAATCTCAATTCTCAGTACTGTGTCATCAGTTGAAACAGACTCACTGTCTTGAAGACCATGACAGACTTCATGATACTCCATATCTGAGCCAATCATGGCCTCCTTTCTGACTCTAAGCAAAGGTTTACGTGGTGGCATGTAATCACTCAGTTCATATGCCTTTAAGAACATATGCATATGCAATCACATATACAATCACAAACCCATCTTATTCATGCTAAATACTTGGTACTAAGAATAAATGAGACTCCAGAAAATTAAATTTATATAGTCACAAGGAATAGGCTAATCCATCTAGCAATTCTTAAAACCTGAGGCTCATATCGTTCCCAGCTTCCCTCCAATTCTGACTCAAAAATCCCCTTTTCCAGGGCATTTCCCCGTACCCTACTTCACACCCTTTTCCTTATATCCTTTATATTTAAGCATAATTTATATTAACTTCAACTTGCCTAAATTATTTTTTGGGTTTTGTAGCCTTTAACATCCAGCTAAAATGTGTTTTTTCACTTTCAAACCTCCTGCATTGTTGAGCACAGTGCTGTGTATGTATGTGTGTGACTGTATGTATGTGTGTGATTGTGTATACGTATGTATGTGGTTATGTGTATGTATGTGTGAATATGTATGTGTGACTGTGTGTAGGTATGTGTATGACTGTGTGTATGTATGTGTATGACTGTGTGTGTATGTGTGTGACTGTGTGTATGTATGTGTGTGACTGTATGTATGTATGTGTGTGATTGTGTATATGTATGTATGTGATTATGTGTATGTATGTGTGTATATGTATGTGTGACTGTGTGTAGGTATGTGTGTGACTGTGTATGTATGTGTGTGGCTGTGTGTATGTATGTATGTGTGTGTGTGTATATGTATGTGTGACTGTGTATGTATGTGTGTGACTCTATGTATGTGTATGATTGTGTATATGTATGTCTGTGATTATGTGTATGTATGTGTGTATATGTATGTGTGACTGTGTGTAGGTATGTGTGTGACTGTGTGTAGGTATGTGTGTGGCTGTGTGTATGTACTTGTGTGGCTGTGTGTATGTATGTGTGTGGCTGTGTGTATGTACTTGTGTGGCTGTGTGTATGTATGTGTGTGGCTGTGTGTATGTACTTGTGTGGCTGTGTGTATGTATGTGTATGACTGTGTGCACTCACATTCGTGAATGTTTGCCTACTGAAAGAATAAAAAAAACCTGAAGAACCTGGGTGTTTGTAGGGTAAAATGTTACATAACTTGACAGAAATAAGAATTGCTGTTTTTTCCTAATATTAAAAGATCTGGTTTCCAAAAGTGGATCTGTTTGATCTAGAATATCAGTAATAACATGTCAATAATAAAAATGTAGTGGGAAACTGTTTTAAAAACTTTTATGAAATATTCCAAAAGACTTTTTGATAAATTATTATTAAAAGCACCGAACCCAAACACTTTACCTAGTATCACTGAATAGTGGTTTAATGTTTCCTATGATGTCTGAGCACAGACTTGTTTTAATTCATGACAAGGGACGCTGAGCAGGGACAGGTGTTGTGAATCAGGATAAGAAGGCCATTTGCACTAGTCAGTAGATAATACATACATGGCAATTCATTTAAAAATTCTTCTGTGGTACATATACATGTCATATCAATCAAAGGAATGGTTTACATTAAGATGTCATAGATATCCGGAATTGTTTTGGTACTGTAAAACATGACACAATACTGAAGTTGCTATTTAACCAGAAAAATTTTGTTTATATTAGCTATTAATACTAAAATAGGATATAATAAAAAATTATTCTCAATGTGTATATTTTCAAATTTGCCTGACAGTGTCCTTTTAAGAAATCTGACAATCTGAAGTTAGGTTACATACGTTTGAATTTCACTTTCATGACTGAAATATTACTTACACAATAACAAACAACAGACAGTAGTGTTTTACTGAAGCACTCCACAGTTTAGATTTAAAGCTTTGCAACAAGACAACAAAATTCATTGTACTGTTTGTAAGTTAAATTATATATCACGTTATGTCTTATACAAAGAATAAGAAAAAATAAAAAAGAGGCATAAAATCCAGGGTCACAAATATGGGATGTTTTAGCTGTCATCCTAATGCTAATTCATATTGAGTTCTACTTTATTTTTAAACCCAAGAAATTTTATCTTTAAATAAAACATGGACACAGAATCGGGTGTGAAGGGCAAGCCCAGAACTCCATTTGGTTCCCCCTAGGCATCCCGGGAAGTGCACCAAGGAGGAGCATGGGCAGGTTTTGCGCTGCGGTGAGTGCATCCCTGCTGCCCAGATCACCCCACAGCATTTACAGAGCAAACGCTCTGAAATGAAAGCACTGACCAGCTGGCTTCTTCCTTGGAAAAAAGAAAAACATACGACGCTAAGACAGCTACTTTTGTTTTTTGTTTTGTTTTGTTTTTGGCTTCCTCATTCTTAATCCTCTTTTTCTCTAATATACAATATGGTTATATAAAAGCACTTTTTGAAATGCTCACTATTAAATAACACAAGGGAACCGAGTTAATTTACACAGTTAACGCCAACAAAGGATCAGGACAGACACTAAGGGGAGGTCCTGGAGTTTGTCACACGGAGGGCCAAACTTGCCAGAGACCTCATGGCAAAAGTAGACACTTTGTGGCATATCCCAGCTTTTGAAATGTAGTTAGAAGCTAAACGAAAAAGCCTTTCAGCACCAAAGGTATTGAAGTGCCCGGGAAGCACCTTCTCCACGAGACCTGAGTCCACTAATTCTATGAGACGTTCACAAGTCCCAACATAGTCGCTTATCCTGCTGTACGGGAGCCAGTCAATCAGGGAGCCATCATACACCACATCGCCACTGAAGAGAACCTTCCGGTCTTTGTCATGTAAGCAAATACTGCCTCTCGAGTGACCTGGCATGTGCATAACAGTGAGCTGTCTGTCACCAAGGTTGATCACGTCCCCTACAAATAGAAACAGAAGATACCAATAAATATATCACAGTATACTTGACTTTCATCATCGAAAAAAAAACAAAAACAGAAGTGCATTAAATAGGTTTTGAGGAAATTGATGATGACATTAGTGCTGTGGGATGTCCTGTATGTTAAATGTGTTGCTCTGATTGATTGATAAATAAAACACTGATTGGCCAGTAGCCAGGCAGGAAGTATAGGCGGGACAAGGAGAGGAGAATTCTGGGAAGTGGAAGGCTGAGTCAGAGAGATACTGCCAGCCGCTGCCAAGATGAGAAGCAGATGTTAAGACACCGGTATGCCACGAGCCACGTGGCAACTTATAGATTAATAGAAATGGATTGATTTAAGATATAAGAACAGTTAACAAGAAGCCTGCTATGGCCATACAGTTTGTAAACAATACAAGTCTCTGTGTGTTTACTTGGTTGGGTCTAAGCGGCTGCAGGACTGGCGGGTGAGAGAGATTTGTCCTGACTGTGGGCCAGGCAGGACCAGGAAAACTCCGGCTACACATTAGCTTTACTTTCATTCCACAACGATTATGTTTCTCCATGCGATGGGGGGCATGGGTGTGTACCTGTTCATGCACGCATATGTATGTGGAGGTCAGAGGGAAATGTATCTTTATTGCTTTCACCCTTACTTTTTGAGACTGAACCTGGAGCTCATAATTAGGCAAGACGAGCTGGCCCATGCACTCCAGGGACCCTGCTCTTTCTGCCTCTTCAGTGCCAGGGTTATAGGCACATGGGATACTGGCTTATTTCACAGGTGTTGGGACCCAAACATAGGTCTCTAAGCTTGCATGCCAAGCCCTTCACTGAGCAGGCCACTCGCCAGCCCCCAGTACTTTGTTTCTTAATGCTAATTTAAAAACAGGTAGCCTTGGGGCTGGAGCAACAGCTCCGTGGTTAAGAGCACTTGCTGTTTTTCCAGATGACTCAAGTTCAGTTCTCAGTACCCATGGCAGTCAGTACCAGCTACAATGAGATCCCACACCTGTGGCTTCCATGAACATCTGTACTGGCATGCACATACCCACACGTAGACACACCTACACATAATTTTAAAAAATAAAAATAAATCCTTAAAAAATGGGTGACCTCTATTTTATTTCTGTTGTTTTATAGACTAGTATTTACCAGATTAGCTTTTGCCCAAGTTACTATTATCAAATGCTACCTCTGTAGGTTATTAAAACAAAATTTAAAAAAATGATTATTCTATGGCCAATTAATTTTGAGAATTCTTGCTTAAAAGAAAATTAATCATATTTCTTTTGTATAAGTTTCATAGAGCTGTTGATATGCCAACAATATTGCAGATATACATAAATACAGCTGTATACTTTTCCAAACTCCCTGGACCATGAAGCTTCCACTCTTCAGGAGTCGGTATCCTGGCTGCACAGGCTGGGAATGTGGTTTTAGTGAAGTGCATCACATTTTGCCCCTTAAGCTGTCCCGTGGGGTTGGGGCTTGAGGAAAAAGTACACATGGAGATGCTCTTGGTAATGCTATTTCTGTGAACAATGAACCGTTTGATAGGTAAACGGTGCTGATGACGTAAGACGCAAGACCCTGAGGAGTGAGGGCAGGATCCTAACCCCATTCCTTCTTGGTTCTCACCCAGGAACCTCACATCTTCTGTTGTTCCAATTGAACTTCTTCGGGCTTACCTGCTACCATCCAACTGGATACACTCTCAAATTCCTCACAACTATTGACTGTAAGGGGAGATGGAGGTATATAGGAAAATGGCTGTTTCACTGGGATTAAATCAAGTACTAACATATACACTCAAAAAGATTCTTACTGTAATCTCTAGTTCACATAAACTGTAGGAAGAAAATTAATGAACTATAGCTAAAAGTTAACTAAGGAATTAAATGGTATAAAAATCAAGACTTGATAAGCATAAAAGGAAAACAATAAAGACATGGAAGAAGACTAAAGATAACTAGCAGGACCATGAAAAGAGCAGATCTAAAGCCAACTGTGTCTTCGCTTGTGAAGGAAAAACCCTCTCATCATGGGCAGAGGTGGATTAAAAAAGCAAGATGGACAAAGTTGCCAGGAGAGGACCTTATAAACTCAGGGACATAAACCATGAAAAAGTTATGTAAGACAAAACAGATTTTTGCCTAGGAAATAAGACCAAAGAGAAGCAGATTTTATGAGGATTAGGTCAATACACTTAAAAAAATTATATATGTATACTGACCTAAAACCAACCAGAAAAGTGCATGATGGGAAAACTGAAAATTCAGCCAGGAGTGATGTCTCCTACCTATAATCCCAGCACTTGAGAAAATAAGGCAGGAATCCTGCTGTAACTCAAGGTTAGCTTGGGAAGCAGTGATTTCCAAGCTGTCCTGGGCTACAAAGTGAAAGCCAGTCCAAAAAGACCAAACTAATCAATAAATAACTTTATCTGCACAACTAAAAGTTCTTCTCTGAATAATTCATAAAACAAGAGAAAGTTAATCAGAGTACAGAAGACTAAGATAATACTTATTAATCAAGTTAATATAACTTGATATCTAGAGAGATAACATTCTTTTGACTATATATGGGATATTTATTTGTCTATAATGCTAAGACATAAATCATGCTTCAATAAACTTAAAAGGAATAAAATCATGCAATTGTATAAATAATAAAATAAAAATAATAATAAACATAAATAATCTGACAATATAATTAAAGCATTTTAGAAATAATTTATAGTACATCTTAAATAACTAAAAATAGTAATAAATTAAAAAATAGCAAAAATGAATATGGGAAATATCCACAGAAATAACCACCATACTTTTACCCAGCTTATGAAGTAAAAAGGTAAAAATTAAGTATCCTGGGTTGAAGTAAGTTGAATGAAATCAAAACACACCAAAATTTGTGGAAACTGGTAAAGCAGTATTTAAAATTGCTTTAAATGCTACTTTATAAAGTTTTAAGTACTGCGATCAATTTCAAAGATGTTCTCCTAAGAAAGTAAGAGCAAATCGAACACTAACGTGTATTAAGAAAGAAGCAATAGCTGGCTGGGGGCTGAATTAGTCACAATGCCTCCCATAAAAGTGTGAGGACTGGAGGCCGGATCCTCAGCACCCATGCCATAAAGCTGGGTATGGTTGCGTACACTGGGGACAGTGCACAGGATGAGTGGAGACAGGGAGGCTCCTGGAGTTTTCCAGCCAGCCAGCCTAGTCAACTGGTGAGCATCAGGTTCAGTGAGAGACCCTGTCTCAAAAGGTAAGGTGGAGATGAACTTAAGTGTTGACCTCTGGTCTCCATTCATACACATACATGTATACATCTAACACAAATACATGTGAAAACTTTTAAAAGAATGATAATGAGGAATGTAGGAAATGGGGCCAGAAGTGGTTAAACAATTAGGAGAACGTGCTGCCCCTGCAGAGGACCAGGGTTAGTTTCCCAGCACGAACATGGTGGCTGTAACTTTGGTTCCAGGGGAGCTGATACCCTCTTCTGGCCTCCTCAGCATTAGGCATGTAGAGCACATATATAAATGCAGGCAAACATTCATACACATAAAATGCAAATAAATCTTTTTTTTTTATAAAAAGAGCATCAGAAAAATAAAAAAGAAATGTTATTACAGAAAAATCAGGGGAGACAAATTGGATTTTGAAAAATGCAACAAAATTAGTATACTCTTGTCTAGGCAAATCAAAACAAAATTGACGAGAAGACACATTGCCAAAATCAAGAATGAAAGAGGGGAAAATCCTGAGTGTAAAGACAATAAGAGGAAGCTGTCGTCGTCGTCGTCGTACAATTGACAATATGTACAATATGTGAACAGTCAGGATGAGAAAAACCCCGTCTTCCAACAGGGAAAGAGGGGAAGTGCATCAGAATCACAGGAGGGGTGACGGGCAGCTGGGAAGCGTGGTGAGCACCGTGGGAAGTGTGGTGAACACCGTGGGAAGCGTGGTGAGCACAGTGGGAAGCGTGGGGTGAACACAGTGGGAAGCGTGGTGAGCACAGTGGGAAATGTGGTGAACACAGTGGGAAGCATGGTGAACACAGTGGGAAGCGTGGTGAGCACAGTGGGAAGTGTGGTGTGAACACAGTGGGAAGTGTGGTGAGCACAGTGGGAAGCGTGGTGAACACAGTGGGAAGTGTGGTGAGCACAGTGGGAAGTGTGGTGTGAACACAGTGGGAAGTGTGGTGAGCACAGTGGGAAGTGTGGTGAACACAGTGGGAAGCGTGGTGAGCACAGTGGGAAGTGTGGTGAGCACAGTGGGAAGTGTGGTGTGAACACAGTGGGAAGTGTGGTGAGCACAGTGGGAAGTGTGGTGAACACAGTGGGAAGCGTGGTGAGCACAGTGGGAAGCGTGGTGAGCACAGTTGGAAGCATGGGGTGAACACAGTGGGAAGTGTGGTGAACACAGTGGGAAGTGTGGTGAGCACAGTGGGAAGTGTGGTGAGCACAGTGGGAAGCGTGGGGTGAGCACAGTGGGAAGCGTGGTGAACACAGTGGGAAGCGTGGTGAGCACCGTGGGAAGCGTGGTGAACACAGTGGGAAGCATGGTGAACACAGTGGGAAGCGTGGTGAGCACAGTGGGAAGTGTGGTGAGCACAGTGGGAAGCGTGGGGTGAACACAGTGGGAAGTGTGGTGAGCACAGTGGGAAGCATGGTGAACACAGTGGGAAGTGTGGTGAGCACAGTGGGAAGTGTGGTGAGCACAGTGGGAAGTGTGTGGTGAGCACAGTGGGAAGCGTGGTGAGCACAGTGGGAAGCGTGGTGAACACAGTGGGAAGCGTGGTGAACACAGTGGGAAGTGTGGTGAGCACAGTGGGAAGTGTGGTGAGCACAGTGGGAAGTGTGGTGAACACAGTGGGAAGCGTGGTGAACACAGTGGGAAGTGTGGTGAACACAGTGGGAAGCGTGGTGAGCACAGTGGGAAGCGTGGTGAGCACAGTGGGAAGCGTGGTGAACACAGTGGGAAG